GGGGGGGGGGTGCTTGCCCCCCCGGCTTGGGGGGCTCGGCCATACTTCCCCAGGCGCAGGCGCCGGCAACTCTGCCCCAGCTATTTTTGCCCACCGGGATCACGAGTGAGCGGGTGACCTTCCCCGAGGGACACTGCCACGCAGAGGGGGGGGACAGCTGCCGGCGTCAGTACCCGGGGTGCCCGTCAGGCTGCGAAACGGCTGTTTCCCGCCTGTTTTGGTGGCGGCGGCAGCCAGTGAAGAGGGTTTTGGAGGGGCTGCTTGTGGCTTGATAGAGAAGAAGGATTGAGCCTACAAAAAGGAGCCGCTTGTTCAGCTCCGGAGGCAAGTTCATGGCTAAGCCTTTGTCTGGCAGAGGTAGGGAGGGGACAGCCTGGGAGCTGCCGGGAGCTCCCCCAGCACTGCTGGCGAGGAGCCGGCGCAGCCAGGCGATGCTGGCATCTTGGCTCTCTTTGCACCCCGCGCCTGCTTGTCCCCTCGCAGCCCCATGCCGGGGACGGGCTGGGTGGCATTTTGCAAAACTCAGTGGGGAATAACCAAACTGGGCACCCTCCTCCTGCTCGGTGCAGCCCCCCGGTTCTGCCGTGTGCATCGCTGTCCCTTAACTTAACCCACCGTCCCCTCCGTCCTGCTCCAGGCCAGTATCATCATGGCTGTGTTCCCGAGCCAGCGGTAAAGGGCAGCGTGCCAGCGGATCAGCTAAACCCCAGGGACGATGAGCACCGTCGCAGCTGAGAGCCAGCTGGGGCCAGGACCCAGAGGAGCCGCCGAGGCACGGTGCTGCGGCTGAGGCCGGTGTGCCGAGCCGTGCCGGACTCCCGTGCCGCTGCAGCTGGCAGCAGATGCTCTCTACCCGGCACGTGGAGCCGCCAGGGGCCCTCGCCACGGCCGGACCACGCGGATGGAAAGCTGCAGCCCAGCAGGTAGGAGCCCGGCACGGCGGCTCAAGGCGGGAGCTCTGCATCTCTGTTGCCGCCACGGTGATTTAAAGCTCTCGGTCCCCCAGGGAGCCTCGCTGGCCGGCTGACGCCATCCCACGCCCTATGCCCGAGCCCTATGCCGGAGCGGGCGCCCTCCCTGGCTCAGCCGCCCGCCGACCATGAAGTGCTCATTGCGCTTCTGCTTCCTCTCGACCGCCTTCCTGCTCGTCTTCGTCATGTCCCTCCTCTTCACCTACTCCCACCACAGCATCGCCTACCTGGACCCCGGCGGGCTGGGCAGCATTCACCGGGTGAAGCTGGTGCCTGGCTACGCTGGCATACAGCGGCTCAGCAAGGGGGGGCCGTACCCCCGGGGCTGCACCTGCCGCCGCTGCCCGGCCGAGGAGGCCGGGGCTACCGACTGGTTTGACGGGCGCTACGATGGCACCGTCTCCCCGGTGTGGACCAAGGAGAACATGGACCTGCCGCCCGATGTCCAGAGGTGGTGGATGGTGAGCGAGGGGATGGGCCACCCCCATGCGTCCCCCAGCCCTGGGGCATGCCGTGATGTTCTCCGGCACGGAGAGCGCAGCTTTCTCCTCTGCCGGCGAGAAGGGGGCTGCTGGCTGATGCCCCCCACCCTCCTCCCCCCACAGATGCTGCAGCCCCAGTTCAAGTCCCACAACACCCACGAGGTCCTGAGCAAGCTCTTCCAGATCGTGCCGGGCGAGGATCCCTACCGCTCCCGCGACCCACACCGCTGCCGCCGCTGCGCCGTGGTCGGCAACTCAGGCAACCTGCGTGGCTCCAGCTACGGGCCAGAGATTGATGGGCATGACTTCGTCATGCGGTGAGGGCAGGGGACTACTGCCAGGGACGCTCCCCGCCTGCTCAGCTCCACGGGCAGCACAGAGGCACGGGGCGATGCTGGCAGTACCAGTGGATGCTGAGATCCCACTGTGCACCGCAGCGGCATCTCTCCGGTCTGCTGTGCGTTAGGAGATGCCAGGGCAGTTGTCCCTGTCTCCAGCTGCTTGGTCAAGGAGCCCACTGCGGGTCCTGCCAGGTGCTGGAGTGGGTAGGAGCGCGTCCTGCCTCTGCCACCTCCCCTGGGCTGGCTGGGGGGACCCTCAGCTCATGCTAGCACCCTGAGCACCAGCAGGCTGGGATACTGCTCCTCAGCAGCGTTCAACAGCTGGTGGGGGACACCCTTGTCATCTGTAAGGGACAGGGTGGCTGGGAAGGGGGTGCCACCTTCCCCGCTCTCTCCCCAGGATGAACCAGGCCCCTACGGTGGGTTTTGAGGGTGACGTGGGTGGTCGGACCACACACCATTTCATGTACCCCGAGAGTGCCAAGAACCTGCCTGCCAACGTCAGCTTCGTACTGGTGCCCTTCAAAACCCTGGACCTGCTCTGGATCGCCAGTGCCCTGTCCACCGGCCAGATCAGGTTGTAAGTACCTGGCGAGCACCGGCAGCACCAGGCTGGCAGCTCCCCTGGGAGCGGTGGGGATCCATCTGTTCCTCCCTCCCAGAACATCCCCCGGCACTGGTCCCTTGGCAGCTCAGGCTGGGGTTGGGGGGGCGCAGGACCCCCAGGGAGCTCACCCGCCTCTCTGCTTTTTTCCCAGCACGTACGCGCCCGTGAAACCTTTTCTGCGGGTGGACAAAGAAAAGGTAAGGGGGGGGCTTGTCCCAACCGCTGTGATGAGCACCTGTTTGGCCACGGCCCCCATCACCCCATCTTCCCCCAGGGTCCCCACATACATTTTGGTGCTCCTTCCTGGGGTGCCGATGCTGAAGGGAGTGTGGCCGGGACTCCGGCACTAACCCCAGCCTGTCCTCCCAGGTGCAGATCTACAATCCTGCCTTCTTCAAGTACATCCACGACCGCTGGACGGAGCACCATGGGCGCTACCCCTCCACTGGCATGCTGGTGCTCTTCTTTGCCCTCCACGTCTGCGATGAGGTAGGTGATGGCTCCTCGGGGTCCCCCTCTGGGCTGTGGGGTCCCAGCTGGCATGTGGTGGGTTTGCTGGGATCCTGAACCTTGCAGGATTAAGGAGGGAGGAGGCTTCTTTGGGTCCAACTGCAGCAGTTTCACTTGCTCCCATTGCTTAGCACGATGGTGATGGGCACCCTCGAACGGTGGGAAGGCCGTGTAGAAGGATGTAAGCCTTTGGCACGGTGCGAAATCCCCCCAGCGGCATGGCGGGTGCTCGGTCGAGGGGGTCCCCAGCCCGGCAGAGGGGGGTCAGGGCTGGCTTACCCCCCTCCTCACTGCTGCAGGTGAACGTCTTTGGGTTCGGCGCTGACAGCCGGGGCAACTGGCACCACTACTGGGAGAACAACCGCTACTCCGGGGAGTTCAGGAAGACGGGGGTGCACGACGCCGACTTTGAGGCGCACATCATCGACATGCTGGCTAAAACCAGCAAGATCGAGGTTTACCGGGGGAACTGAGGGCTGCGTCTCCTCCGGCTCCCCTGCGCCAGCTGGGTCCCGGCTGCCCATGGGGGCAGACGGCAAGGGTCTCCCCGGTGGCCTCGGGCAGTGAGCGCTGGGTGGGCAGTGCGGCCCCACACCACCAACAGAGCCGCCCCCGGCAATATTTGGTGCCTCCAGCAGCCAATCAGGTTCAGAGCTAAAGGAGACTTTTTGCTTTTTTTTAATTATTATTATTATTATTATTATTAAGAAACCCAGCTGAGAAAGGATTTGTAAACACAATCAGCGACTGACGGGGCGGTGGGGGCATCCGCCTCACATTTCTTTACAGTCAAACCAAATGCTGCTCTTTTTAAAAAAAGACAAAAAACCACCCACCCACCCCCCCCAAAGCCAGGTGACTTTGGGGAGCACCCAAGCATTGCGTCTGGGCCGAGGGAGACATGGCGGCTGAGCAGCCTCGCCAGTGGAACCAGCTGCTTCTTTCTTCCTTTATTTTGATGGTTTTTTTATTTTTTACCCACCTGGGGCAGCCGCCACCGTCGCTTCCCCAGGGAAGGCTCCTGGCACACAAGCAGGTCCCAGCGCGGCTGCAAGCACATGGACCCATCGCAGGGAGCTGGCAGCCACGGGAAGACGACCGTCGCCGATGCTCCACTGCAGGCTGGTGGCTGCTGGCACAGCCAGGCTAGGAGATGGAGAAGAACCCCAGCTTCGGGGCTGAGCATCCCCTCTACCTGAAGATTGAGGAAGGGTAGGACGGATTTCAGGGGCAACCATGCAAAAGGCAGCTAAGAAATCCGCAGGGTGCTCGAGGGATGTGGAATGCAACGGTGGGGGCCCAGCCCCACCAGAGGGATGGAGACGTGATTTCCCTTCAACTTTCAGGCTGGGAAAAAACAGATTAGAGATAGCTTTAGTGGGTGAATGAACCGTGCTTTTGTGTTGCTATAAACAGACAGCTCTGGTGAGAAGCTGAAATCCCAAAGTCTTTGCTCCGTTTGTGAGGGTGGGGCTTGGTTTACACCAGTCTGGTACAGCCAGTGCCCTCAGGGTCACCGGGGGCTTTTCGGGCTGGACAGGCTGCCCTGCAGCATGGGACGGGGTGCTGCAGAAGGAAACTGCCTCCCCAGAGGTGTAATTAAAACCACTTTCTTTGGGTCAATCAGGCGGGTGGGTTAGTTTTGGGTTGGTTTTTTTTTTTTTTAGTAGATATGAAAAGCTCAAGAAAAAGGCAATCACGGCAAAGTTCCCCCAGAGAGGGATCCTCTGCCTGCACAGCTGGTGACGATGATGCATGCCCAGCACGGCGGCAGCACAAGCCCCAACATGCCAAGACTATGGCAGGGGTTGCAGTGCTGGAGCCCAGCCAGGGGAAGCCCTGCCCACATCACCTGGTTGCAATAGTTACTTGAGGAACAATCACCCTAGGTTTTTTTGGGCTTGGAGGGGTTTTTTTACCCTTTTGTATCTGGCTTTTCTGTAGCAGCCTCTTACCTGTTTCTCTGCTTCAGTTTGGTTGTTTTTCAGGGTTTTCTTCCCTTTTTTTTTGAGGTTTCTCTCTCTGCAATCGTGAAACATGAGGGTTTGGGTCACCTGGAACAGGCATTGTGCATCTCCTGGGCTGGGCAAATTCATCTTTTCTGTCTGCAGGGCTTTGAAGCCCTGAGTTTCGTGGTGGGTTTTGGTAGAAGCAGTGCCACCCTGGCACGAGCAGCCTGCCTGCGACTGCCACGGCCAGCTCCGAACCCCGGGATGCAGAGGCAGGTTGCAGCAAGCCTCAGTCTCCACCTTCCTGGGTTGTTTTTTTTTTAGGGGAAGAAAAATAAAAGACACAAAACCATGAGCAACGAGTGCCTTGACCATCTCCTGTCGGCTATGCCGGGCTGTGCCCGCACCCGCACCGGTGGTAGGGGCTTGGCCGATTTATCTAGCAGTCGTACCTGCTTCCCTCCTTGCGCCAGGCTGGATCTTAGCTGGGAAGTGCTGCGGGGGGAAGAGGGATGCATCCAGGCCACCACTCTGGTGGCTGGAGAGGCCAAATCCAGTGTGATGAGGCTGGACCAGTTCCTGTCCCAGCTGAGCAGAGCCAGACCAGACAATCACAGGGCGAGCAAAGGCGCCAGGTACCAAACCCGCCAGCAGCACAGGGCCGGCATGCGGCGAAGGGCGCGCTCATGGCTCCTTGCTGCCCTATTTTTTTTTTTGGCTAACTTCCTTCCCCTAGCTCCCCCCCCTTTTTTTAATTATTATGATTATTATTTTTATTATTATTATTTAAGCTGTCCCGCTAGGACTCGCGACCCCTTCTGTTTCTCTCGCAGAGTGGCTGCCAGCCCCATGCACGAGGAGCATGCTGCACGCCTGGCGGGGAGGGGGCCACGGGCGCACCACCGAGGAGGAGCACCACTGTACTGTACATAGAGGAGATGTAGGCAGAGGCTACAGGCAGGGGGGCAGGCAGGGAGGAGGTGCCCAGGCTTGCCCACCTGGCAGAGGTAGTCTTCATCACGCGGTGCCTGATCGAGCCCCCGTCGCCTCCCACTCCGCCAGGAGAGGGAGAGACCTGTTGCTCTGACCTAGAACTAGGAGCAGGCAAGTGGCTTCGCCCATAGCCTCTGTGTACATGGGTACTTCTGCACACAACTGTCTTAAAACTTTTTTTTTTTTAAAGTCAATAAAAAACATGCATCGGAATCGCTCTGTGTTTTCCTTCCAGTAGTCCTGCCTGCTATGCCTTCGCCTGCACCCAAGACCAGGCGTCGGTGGGGTTGGGAGAGGAGGGAAAGGGAGCGGGAGGGTTGCTGGGGCCGAGAAGATGCTCTGCTGTCCTCTCCGACTGGCTGTATCTGGGCTGACATCAGCCACTGGCTGTGATTAGCACCCGTCCACCAGAGCAGGAGCTGAACCTGGCCCCACGCTGGCCTGGGTGCCCAGTGGCAGAGTCCTGACACAACCCCTCCAGCCAAAGCCCATGGTTAGGTGATGCCACTGCTCACCCAGACCCTGCGTCCGTGTCCCATACAGCCCTCCTGACCATCCTTGGAGCCTAAAAAAGATGCTCCGGTCCCAAATGGCCCATGCCCCCAAGGCCCCGCACAGGCGCAGGGAAGGACATGGACAAACTCTTGAAGGACGTAATTTTGAAAGCAGGTGCAGGCACAGCAGGGGAAGGGACTTTCCCTGGAGTCACCCAGCAGGGCCAGGGCTTGCTCCAGCTCCCAAGTTCCCAGCTCCCACCACCAAAGGCTGGACTGTGCAACAGGCCCAGTGTCCCTGCAGGATCCTGTCCAGATGACCAGGGGGTTGGGATCCTGAAAGACAGACAAGGCTCTTGTGTAAGAAATCGCCAAATTCGGGAGTAGTTAAAATGCCTCTTTATTAACATACAAACCTAGCAACATTTAAGCCAACCAAAATATTAAATGAAATAAAGCATGATATAAATACAGCACAGATAACAACATGGCCTCAGTGGAGAGCAGCAAACTCACCCTGACTTGTGCGCTTAGGAACAACTGTCCATATCCTCCACCATGGGGTCTAACAATCAGAGCAGCTTTGTCTCTCCTAAACCCCCCTGAATCCAAAGCCGGCAGAGTTGAGACCACTGCTCCTCTCAAAGACAGACCACCTGGCAGGAGGTCTTACAGTTTAACATTTCTACAACCCCAGAGGTCAAAGGGATTAAAAAAATCACCATCCCCACACTGCTAGAGCCAATCTGCTGTTGTCTGCTTGCCATGACCCTGCAAGGGGAGAGGGAGATGGCTGTAGTGGATGGGGAACCATGCTACTGAAGTTGCTCCTTGCTCTGTCCCACCTCAGCTACATCCATTGCACAACATTCACAAGTGTAAGGCACTAGAAAAATGTTTTCACAGGTTCAAACTTCAGTTGTTCTTAAAATTGCAGCAGTAGCACACTTCCGAAGTCCTGCCAGCCCTTTAAAATCTGGTCTCAGGAGATTTGATAAAAGCACAAAGGGGGTTTGGACAAGTAAATTGGTGCACCCAATAACCAGAAGCAATGGTGGAGTTCACAAGATGGCAGTCTCTGCTCAGGAAGAACTGCATTGGGTCCAAGAAGCAGGGAACCCTTCTCCCACAGAGCTCAGGTCTCCTGTAAAACCAGTGACAGCAGTCACACATGCACAGCTGGGAACAAGAGCAGCAAATGACAGAAAGAAAGCACATTGTCTCAGGGGCAGCAGCAAGGAGTTGATCTGGGCCAAAAAGGGTTTTACCCAACTCTTTCCAGAGACTCAGGAAACATTACCATCACCCAGCTGCTTGGCAGGTGGTCTGGAAACAACTGCATTCACAGCACAGGCACACTCCTTTCCCTCAAGCACGGCTTGGGTTGCTTCTCTGGCAGAAGCACATATGAGCAGGGACATATCCTGCCGCAAGCCTGACCATGAGATGCAGGAGAACCTGTCAAGGACTTCAGGGACATCAGTATCTACAAAGCAGCACTTTGTTTTGTGCTGTAACTCAGAAGCCAGCCTGACATCAGGAATCCAGCAGAGCTTTGAGACAAATGGGAGGTGAGAAGTCTCAGAGCCATCTCCACAAACATTACAGGCACCAGCAGATCCCCTCCGCTCCCACTTCTCCTGACTCCTGCCTCCAAATGTCAGCTGGTACAGCAGGGAAGCGTTCACGCAGAGAATTTTGTTTCCTTTAATGGAACGGGACACTCACAGAGTACTCTACACCAGCCTAGGCTTCTTTCTTTAAAGAAAGAAGAAAATCCATTATAGCATAAGCAATATAGTGAATAAATCCATTTCGGGGGGGGGGGGCGGGGGGGGAGGGAAGGTGTCAGCACAGACAGCTGTACAAGCACAGGGGCTCCCAGCTCATTTAGTTTAGTTCAATACAAATTCCAGCCTCAGACCAGCAGCATACTGCAATAGCAGCTTCCGCCATCCCCTGTGCTTGCTCAAAAATATCTGCCGACGTTTGTGTCTGCTCTGTACACTCAGCACGCAGTTTTCCAGGAAGAAAATCAAATGGCAGGCACAATCAGTGGCCAAATACCTCACCTCAAGCTTTAAGGCATTTACAAATATTTAAAGTTTTTTTTGCCTCCCTCAAATGCAAAGACTGCACTTGCCTAGGGCTATAAGCACCGCTACAATCACAATGCTTAAGGAAAGTTTAAAGTGCAAAGAAAATTTTCAAATGCTTTTTAGAGACAGCTTGAAATCATGTGATGACATTAACCCCTCCTTCCCCAAGTCCTGTTCCCTGACTGAATGCTTTTTTTAAAATGAAAATCCAAACAATCAGTTAAGGAAAAGGTAGTTTAAAACAGAAAAGCATCCTGAAATGGGTGCAAATTAACCTGACCAAGTATTATAATAAAATCATTCAGGAAGACAAATCTGAAGGTTGTGAATGTTCTGCTGGACATTATCAGAAGCCAAGTACTCTGTTTTAAGTAAGAACGACTTCTGCCCTTGCAAGCAACTTCCCCCCCAGCAAACATGGAAACTACCCTGTTTATATAGATTTCTTCCCAAAACGTAATCATTTTGGTTAAAGTGTGCTGGAAGGACAAGGTTAGTGATGTCTGTGCTGTACCTTTACAGTTGCAAGAATGTGCCAGAGACAGACAAGAGTTTCGAGCAATTGAGTGTGCACGTTCCCCACCTCCCCCGTGTGGCACCATTTCCTTCGTCGCAACAAAAAATGTGAGAGGGAAATGTATGTTGGAAAACAAGTGTCACCGCCGCTCTCGCTTTCTCAATAACGCTGTCCCGATTCTGCCCAGAGCCATTGCTATCACTCAGCGCTTGTCCGGCACTAAGGCTGCAGAGGAAAATGCTCCCTGAGCTGGGAATCAGGGCTGATCATCTCTCCAAGCCTGGGCTTAAGTGGTTAAGTAATGGGCAAAGGATCAAACCGCAATCACGCCTCTCCTTCCACCTCAGCTCAGCCACTCTGCCATCCCCTTGCCTGTTTTTATTTCACCATGCCTCGCTCTTGATAGGCAAAAGGAACTAATGTGCTCCACTGCCTGAGCAAGGAGATCAGAGAAGTGTTAAGAAAAGTGGGAAAACCCTGGCACAGGGAGAAGGAGGGTTAAATGATGGAACACACAGCGGCCACAACCCCCCCTGGGAGTTTGGATGTTGGTATCTGCACAGTCTAAAAGCTGAAGAGCTTATATTGAGGCAGAGAGACAGATCTAGAACCAACCTGGCTCAGATGATGAAGCATCAGGCAGAATGAAGAGAAGAACCTTGCGCACGAGAAGTCCTACAGCAGCACAGGCTGGAGTTCGGAGGTGTTGCAGGAACAGCAACATCATCGGTAGCAGCTTGAAGGCGACAGTAGAAAGGAAGAATCCAAGCTTACACCAAGACTTGGAGATGCAGTGGAAGTTTCACATAGCCTCCTCTCCTTGCCACAAAATAATAAGAAGAAACTGTCCAACAAGGCAGATCAAACCTGGATACTGGAGCCAGCACAGAGAAGACAAGAAGAAACTAAGTCTGGCAAAAATAGATGGGAAAAATCAGCGTAGCATCTTCCTGAAACAGAAATCATCATCCCTAAGTAGACTAATAAACGCCCTCTTCTCTAATTCCATTTTTACTCAAGCCTTTCAGTACTCACTCAAGGACTAACAAAACATGAGAACTCGGGAAAGGACGCAACAAGGGTAAGACAACGTAATACCTCTGGAGAAATCATTTAATTGAAGAGGCTGCCCAGTAAGTGCTACCTCTCACACAAGTTCCCCACACTACTCTATAGACAACACCTGGGCAAGCAAGCCCTTCCCAGCGTTACAGGGATGCTGTACATGTAGATGGATTCACCACCACCACGCCAGCAAACCCACTCAGATGTTGCCTTCCGGGGTAAGAAAAAACAAGCCTACATGTGCCAAGTGTATGCTACCCACAGGCCATGCTTTCCCTAAAATTTGTCACTGATGGGTAATAAGTTTATCCTAAAATGGGTTATGCTCAACCTAAAGTATTTTAGCCAAAAAGATAAATTATTTTCTCATACTAAACTCCACTTAGCTTCCCCTGCAAAGATGCCTGTATCAGCAAAATCTACAGGACTGTTCCCATTCTGGACAGCAAGACTCAGAGAACTGGTAACAACCCTGTGACTGCTACATACGAGGTGCACAGGGCAGACCTGCTGCTGCTGCTTCAGCACGGAACGAGGCCACTATCCTTTTCAGTGCAGAGGAGGGGGATGCTATTTTAGTATTTCCCATCCAAGGTTCATAGTCTTACCATGCAGAATGAGAACAAACCACCTTTCTCAGCAGAAAGCATTTTGAGGCAGTTTTAAGGATGAGAATCATGATGCATAATTTTACAGTCCATGTTATTCAGCATCTTAGATGCTAAGACTGTGTCTTGGCTTGGAAGACTAGCAGCTTCCAAGATCCAATTTCTAATTTTCTAATTTGAAGGTGTACTAAAGGTGGTAACTGATTTTTTTGTTCTTTTTTTAGGCACTCTACTTTTAGTCATCAGATAAAGGGATTAGAGTCTTACATCACCGTTTAATACCTCTGGAAGAAAACACTACACTAGTAGGACCTTTCTCAGTCTCAGTGTCTAGCACTACTTTAAAACATGCTACCCAATTGTCCCCTTGACAGGTATTCAAGTTGGTGAAGGCAAACTATTCTTTAACATTATAAGGTTAAAAAATAGCTGCCAGAAATTAAATCAACTAAGCGTGAACAGCAGCCAAAGACTACAGGTTCTGATAAAAAACAAGAATCAGAATTCATAGCAGGGAAAGCCAGAGTAGGCGTTAATGAGCTGCAAGACTGACAATTATCAAACCACCTATCTCTAAGTCTCAAACAGCAAATATAACATTACAGAAAGTGTTGCTGTATCTATCAGCACGATAGAAAATTATTTTCACTCTCTATTTTTGCTATTGAAAAGTCAATAGATCTAGACATAAAATAAACCTAAGCAGATATAATGACAAAAGTAGCTCATAAAACACAATTTTGTCAGAACTGCTGTGGGAAGAGACACCTGTATCAAAAGTTGTCTGAGGAACTAACAGGCACCTACAAATTAGGGAAAAGAAAAAATAATCACAAGGAGGAATATAATCTGCCTGTAACACTTCAGGAACGAGTGGTTGGTAGAGGACAGCATGCTGCTAACTTTCCCATTTGGTCTTAACTATTCTAACTCCGCAGAGAACAAACTGAATGGTTTGAGCTTAGATCTCTCTTCAAGGAGTTGCATTAAGTACTACAGCTTGCCTCAGCTGCGTGCTTTGTTTTCTCCCGAAGAAGTATCACGCCTCAACAGCAACCACAAATGGTCAATAAACTCTAATCAGAAGGGCTGCTCTAAGACACACCCTAAGTATCACGTATAAAACTCTGTTTGGTTGAATGCTTGTTTCCCCAGATAAGCAAGGCACAGCAACATCCCATAAAACCAATGGAGGGACAAGAGGATGGACACATATTTTTTGAGTGACCTGGTGCACTGTTCCCAGGTGACAGGCTGGTAAAGCAGAGGTCCTCCTTGGTACACACAACCAGCACAGGAATAGTGGAATTGCAGTATCCCTCTATGCGGAAAAGACATGCAAGAAGCGACTGGATTTTCAACTGCTATCAGATGCTTTATGAACCTTTCATTTAAGCAACTAAACCTGATATACCAGGCAAAATTTTAATCTGGAGAGCAATAATAGGGGAAGTTGGAATAAATTACAATCTCCACCTTCAACAGCCATGCAGGGTAATCTCAGCTGTGAGATGCCAAAAAGCTGCCCTACTGTGGTCACTACATTTCAGACTGGGGAATTTTTGCATGTTCAAGTTCAAAAGTTGTTAAGTTCAAAATCCTTGAAGAGGTCACACACTAAAAAGGAATTCACCATTCACAAAGGAGAGCATGCTCCAAGTGACATCTGCGTTCAACCTACTATAGTCCCATGCTCAAATCCTTAATTCTCTTACACCCCTTCCCAACTCTCCACTCCAAGGTTTCACAGTTTCCGTATCACCCTGAATGGGGTACCTTGCTCTGACAACCTGTTTTAAGGTGTAAAGGTCTTAGACTTTCACCTTTCCTGCCTTAGGGATATTTGACTTCTTTTGCATGCTGAGAACACCTGGATCATGAACTGGCAGACCAAAGACTCAACCGAAAGCATGACCCGAAGCAACTAAAACAGCAGAAAGCAAACTTAAAAGAAGAACCAGGCAAGGTTTTGAGCTCATATTTACACTACTGATGCTTGCCATTGAACTGGAAAAGAAAGTGCCTCAAAACAGTTCCAGATCGTAAAGAAAGTGTTCATCGTGGCTGACAGGGCAGACATCAGTGCAAGGTTGTGTTTGAAGTCCAGACAGAAAGATGCTGGAGCAGAAAGACCATGAGGAGTATGCGGGTGGCAGAGGCAGGGAAAACGTGTAACAGGTCTTCAAGTAAATAAAGAGAATCTTTGCTTTTGATTGTGCTCACAATGCGAAGAAGAAAAAGAAGATGTAAATGTGTGCAATACAATTCAGCATCCCCTCACTTCTTTACCATTTACCATCAGTGTTTGAATCGGCGCATTTTGACACTTGAAGAAGAGGTGAATCCCAGCTGCGCTGGCTGAAGCATCTGTATGAGGAGCATGATGCAAAGAGCTTTGCTGAAGGAAAGGAATTTATAATCCCACTGCCACACTCCCTTCACTCCCTCTATTCAATCCCCTCAGCTGAGGGCCTACCAAGATAGAGAAGTAGGAAGTACAACAGATTTGAGGAGAAAAACAGAAGACAACTTCTCAAGTCCAGCAGGAGCTGCTGAGATGCTTTCTCACCACCAGAAGAAAACCCAGCACCACAGATGAGACAAATGCTGGGTCTTTTCCTCCCAACTTCAAAATAACCGCAGGCAGCCAAAAGGACAAGATGTTGTCCCCTCCTGCTGCTCAAGTACCCCAAACCAACACAAGTTTTACATGAACCTTGCCAGATGAGGTTGACCAAGTCACATAAAAAAAGGAAAGTGAAAGAAAATCCCCAACGAGATTGTACACTGTGCAGCTGGAACAGAAGCAGCATTTCAACACAGCTAATAACATTAAACACTAACATCTGTCCTTGCTAGAAATCAGTATGTTTGCTAACAAAAAACCGAAACAAATCCCATTCCTTTATAGAAGTGAAACACACATGTCGATCTTCAATTATATTTATAGAAGGCCATTTAGTTTCAGTGACCCCACACAAAAAAAATCCAATCACAACAATAACAAAAAACTTACCAGCGCTACTGTCATCTCAACGATCTGATGATTAAATCTACTTGACTCCCTGTTAGGAAAAAAAAAAAAAAAGGGGGGAGGGGGGGCAGTGACAGGCTGGACTATACCAAAACCCGTCTCTTGGCTGCTGCTCACACAACGCTATGTCTCATGCCAGTGAGGTAGCTGATCGTTCTATTGCTGTGTGCATCGATGCATTGACCCCTCTACAACGTGATATGCGGAGAGCAGGGTGAAGTCACAGCGTTCATCTGAACTACAGGCAGCAAATACCTGCTGTCCCATGCCTTACGCTGGAGAGGAGAGAGGAAGGGTATAGTCCTCAGGGGTTCACCTGAACCCTTCCCAGCACCATAAGGCTAGGGCCTCTGGTGGGGTTCACTCCAAACAGGCTTCCCATGGACTGCTGGATGCATGATCAGCACTGTGCTTCATCCACTGGGGCATGGGGGAGCCTGGCAAGCAAAGGGTTGAAGGAGGGAGAAAGACAGGATCAGGAAAGCTTGAAAATTAAAGTTTTAAAATATACAAAATGTAACACACTGGAAAAAGTTTAAAAGTTGCAAGACAAGAAAGGAAAAGAAAGAAATATATGTGAGAAGAATGGACTGGAAGATTGTGGGAGAATACTCCAGCTTGGGAAAAGGAGCAGGTCAGGTATAGTCAGCACTACTCCCTTTGGTAGCCACTCAGTTCCTCCTCATCCTTGCGGCGACGATGTGTGAAGAGGGAGCTGAAGGGGTAGAGCTTGGCTTTGGCCTGGAAGCGCTGCCCAGCAATGTCGATCTCATACTCGCCCTGGTTGATGAAGTCAGTTGTCACCACCAGCTCTTCTCCTGTCTTCTCATCAAAGTGCTGCACAAAGCCAAGGCATACATGGCGCTCCAGAGTGTAGCTGTAGGCACTGCTGGTGGTCTTGCCCACGTAGCGGCCATTGCGGAAAATGGGCTCCCCCCACCAGGGCCAGAGGTCCATATCTGTGTCGTGGTCCTCAAGAATGAACATGGTAAAGCGCTTGTACACACCGTTCTGCTTCTGTTCCAACAGCGCTTCCTGGCCAACAAACTGCATTCCCTGTGGAGAAGCGGAAGCATCAGCTGAGGAAGGGAACATGAACTGTAGCAGCTGCTGAGTTTCAGCAGACACGCGTACTGACACAAGGTGAATTTGTGCTCGGAACTCATGCCCTATCGAGACAGGCTGCTTCTATAGGCAAGAAGCCCAGCTCAGGCAGGAGCTTTACTGTTGTTGTTCCAGATGCTAAAAGACACAAAAATATTTGTGAAATGGGCCTTTAAAAAATTCATTCTAATTTTCACTATAGTGAAAACATGTCACCTTTCTAGTTTTTGCCATTTTTCTGGTTCCAGGAACTCTACCATGTTTTATAAACCAGAGGGAAACTGTAATAACAGATGAAATTTGTGTCCCTGATCACTACCCTCCCTTCTCTAAATTATTTGATACAAGCATTTGTTTTGGCTTGTGCAAAGATGTGAGAAAGAAGGCAACAAGCAAGTGACAGAGATGGCACCTGCCACCACAACAAGCAGGATACAACTCTACGTTCTTCTGTGGTTTAATAAAAATAGAGAACTCCCTTGTTTCAGTAAAACTAGAGGACACCTGTTCTTGGCCCCATCCTCATATTTTACTTCATTAAATGCCACTTGGTGCACAGGCTGGCTTTTGCTTCATCAGACTGGGAAAACAGCTGGGAGAAACATGAACTCTGAGCATCTGTAAGGTACACAGCACCCTCCACCATACAGAGCACTGCACACATGAGCAACACAGGACACTACACAGATCCCTGGGAATGCTGCCCAGGAAGGAGGAAGACATAATACTTTTGATATTTCTAGCACCTTTCTGAAGCACAAGAATATAGGTTATAGTTATGCACTCCACACAGCCCCATCAAAAAAATGACATACCTATCCACTCAGATGGCAGTCTTTTCAGCTCAGTACTGCTCTCCCACCCACCCCAGTGTAGGAGGTGGTGTACCTTTTCCAGCTTGACCTGGAACTCGCGTCCACACTCCATAGGAGTGGTAAAAGCATCCAGATCCTGGCCCCAGAACGCAAAGAACTTCTCAATGCGCAGGCTGCGGAGTGCGTAATAACCAGCGTTCCGAATCCCATACTTCTGTCCCATGTTCATTACCTCGTTGTACACGTGAAGGGCATACTGCAAAGGAAGGGTGAAACATAGAGCTGCAGACCAATGCCAGGAGAGAGCAACAGCATCTGACACCACCACGCATGTTACTGTGTGCCCTGCTGCTGGAGCACAAGATGTCTGCCGGACTAGAATGCAACACAAAGCAGGGAAACTGCCCCCGGTGTCTGCAGGCAGCTTTCTCATGGTACAAACCAGACATTTCATTACGCTGAGTCAACTTGGAAAGTGTTTCTGATTATGCATGCAAGCAACTGTTTTAATTAGCTAAAGCTACCGTGTACTCTTACCTCTATGGGGATATAAAGCATGAATCCAGGTTCTCCTGTGTGAGTGATACTCATCACACGGATGCCATTAGCATAGCCCACGCTCATCTCCTGCAGAATCAGAGGGGGTGAAATCATCCAAACTGGAACACAGCAAGGAGATCCAGAAGGAGCACAAGGCATAACGCAAACCACACCGGCCAGCCCTTTTGTCCCTTCCTCACTGCAGTTCACCACCGGCACATACTGTGGCAGGTGCACCGGCCCTGGTAAAGACTGAAACCCCTCAAAAACTCTTGACTGCTGAACCACAGCTCTCCCTAGTGACTACGGGCAAAGAATTTAAATTTAAAATTCAGACTTCTTAATCACTTCATGACACTTGGCAATAAGCCTTGGAACTAGGTCAGGACACAGGCTTGTATTCCAGATATGAGACAGAAACTGAAGAGCAGCTATCTGCTTAGCCTTTTAACGTGACAGGATACAATGACTCCCTGGTCACTGATCCTAGCTGCCCCTCTGACTGACAGCTTCATAGTTGATTGTATGAAATATGCCAAGATATCAAATGGCATCAAGCCTACAGTGAGTGGAATATTGAAAACAAATGCATAATCACCTATATATTTAGCAAGCAGAACCTAAAGAGAACTAGTTAAACTCCGCCTACTGAGTTTATTACCAACCTAGATCAGTAACTGCAGTAAACCTATATGTAAATCTAAAATTCCCCTCTAACTACCCAAAACATAATTCTTCCCCTCCTTCCACACATGCTTCGAAAAACCTAGCAGCGTGAGGAGGAAGGAAGCACAGTCACTCACCTTGCAAAAGAGAGAGGGAAAATGTTCTGGAGTTATTGGGGCATATGACAACTCTGACAAGACATCCACAGCACGGGGGCCGATCAGATTGAGAGCTAAAGAGGGGAAGTTAACAGTATTAGGATGAGACTGGAGAAGTCTTGCTCAGTGTCTAACTTGCATATGCACATGCCCCAGTTTCTAAAGTCTTAGTGCTTATTGGAACTAATAGGTACATTTACACTTAAGAATGGAGGAAAGAGTCATTAAACTCTCTCTCCTTAAAGTCCACAGGAAAGGAAAGCTATCTCCCAGCTCATGGCATGCTAGAAGGAAGTCTCTGAATTGCGGTGTTCATCCAGCTGTTTGGAAAGGAGACCCAGTCACCACTCTAGACACTTCAAACAATTAATTGGCATGCAGAACAGACACCATTTGTGATTTCAGGCTGTATAAGGAGGTCTACTTTCAGTGATTTCTTACCCGTGTACTTCCAGGTCACGTCTTCCATGGTCAGGTTGCTGTCATCAGGCAAGCGGTTCTTCAGCCAGGCCCAGCAATGGACTTGTTGGTCAGTAGGGGAAATCATGAAGAAGCTGGAACAGACAAATTGAAACCAAGAAACAATGAATGGACAGCCACAAGATGATTCAGTTCATTCTTTGTCCATGAACTACTGGAGCCATTCAGCAGCTTCCAAGCTAACAGGAGACCAAAACACGGTGGCTTGTGAAAACCACAGCTAGTCTCTGGATCAATGCCATCAAATCTGTCATGACAAGAAACCTCAGCCTTCAAGCATTAGCAGCAGCCTGGTGACAAGAAGTGACTAGAGAAGGAACACAGGCAGTTCCACAGAAAGTTCACAGGGTATCTCAAAAGTCACAATCATTTTACAGGAGGTGTTTGCAGGTCTTCGCCACCAATGATTCTGCCTACTCTGACAGTCAGAAGAGTGCTTGGTTCACACAGCAATTTCTTGTTTCAGCAAAAGTCTTTTCACAAACAATGGTGGTTATTATTAACAGTTTCCAAAAACAGAACTCCACTTGATATGTGAAAATGAGCTACTTGTTGTGTAAGTCTCTTTCACAGAAACTGCGTGTTAAAGTACATTATTGTCAGAGATAACATCTGCAGAAATGACTAGGCAAGGAGGAAAGCTACTGGTTTCACACAGAGAAGGACAATACTTTTAAGCAATACATGAATGCAGACAGAAGAGGAAGAGAAAGAAAAGCTGTTTCTAATTAAAGAGCAGGAAAGAAGAATGCTTTCACACCAATACAATGAAAGCATGCATAGAAAACAGTCCAGAGAAATAAAACCAACATTCAGCAGGGACATGGCCATGAAGAGGTTTTTTAAAATGAGAACTTTTTTTATTAAATGCCAAAGAGGGCCCAAACTGTTGAGTCTATGGATGAGATCCTGTGATCATGTCAGTTTGCACCAGAGAGCACAAAAAAGAATCACGAGACACTGCAGAGCTGAGAATTAGAGTACCCATACTGCAATGAAAGCTGAAATAATCAAAAAGTAGTATTTTCAGCACGCAATTCCAATGAGGAGATTGGCCAGGAGCCAATGAGGAACTGTTTGGTTTGCACTTTGAATGATTACCTAAATTAATAAACTCTAATGACTGCTGAAAACAATTTGTCTTTCAATTGAGGAAATTAAACATCTAAAGGCCTAACATTTTGTAGAAATCTATGTCCATCTGTAGTCCCAGAAAAAAGCATATTTTCCCCAATACTGGTAAATTCAGGAGCTCCCTCTCATTTGGGTTACTGAATTAGGAACATAAGAGGAGAATCAAGACTTTTCTTTGTTCTTTACAGAGGGGAAAAAAAGTTCATGATCTCCATTAAGAGGTTCTTAAAGGCTCTAACACCCAAAGGGTGATGGATAAAGATGCTGTCTGCATACCTACCTGCGTTTGCTCAACCGTGCTATGCTGCAGTCATTCTCATAACCTCCTTTCTCATTAAGCATGCCTGTATGCACAACATGCCCAACTGGCACATCCAGGTCATTTGAGAAGAGATACTGCAGACTCTCCAGGGCCTCATCTCCTGTGGACTACATGAATTGAAAGGGAGAGAAAATCAGACAAGCTCTCTGAGCAATACAAATCCACTGGGGCAGTGTAAGATCGCGTCAACGTCCTGGCCCAAATTCTTTCAATTTGTAATGATAGTGACACTGATGTCTCGAGTATAATAGTGACAATGGTGACATAGTGCCAGAGGTCAAATTCTATTTAAAGGCTAAGTTGGTATTTCTATAAACTGGGCCTTTGGCAGACAAAAAGTAATCTATGCTAAATACTGTGGTACAACCTGAATTTGGTCCTACAGCTTGACTTCCTCTGTCTATCCTCAATAGGACACATCGAATTTTGCAAACACAGTCAATAATAAACTAAGGTCACCTCTACCAGGCTGATGCTGTCACTTCCTAGGTACTCACGCTTATTTCAAACTTGGTAAAAGATGACATGTCAATGACACAAACCGCTTCCTTACAGCACTTGACTTCGGAACCCACAATATCAAACCAGTCTGGTTTATAAAAGGTTTTGCTCTGATCCAAATCCAGCAGATCTAATGTAAAGAAGAATCAAAGGGACAATTCATAAACTGGATGAACTAAGATCTTACATAGACCAGTAGGGATGCACTAGGCAGAGGAAAATATGATCTCACCTTTCCCAGGTGGGACAAAATACTTGACTCTTTCAAATCCATGCTTCTCCATCCACCTAGCTCCTTGTGCATCCAGACGGTCATACAATGGTGAAGTACGCAGCTGCCTGCCAGTCTGGAAGTCCCAACGGGGAACTTTCAGATCACACATGAGGGCTGCAATGGTCACAAATATCTGTTATTAGGCAAAGTGATTATCTGAAATTATCTTCCAGATTATCAATACTTACTAATATCTGAACCATTAATAAAATTCCCTCAAAACAGTTCTGACCTTCCTTTTCTGTTTTTGAAAACCGACAAATCTGTTTTGATCCATTTACAGCTATTCAAAATCAGAGTAACAATATTTGCACAGAACATTTATATTTATAGATATTTATGGTCTCATGACAATACTGTCAAGATAACAAAAACTCTCTATTTTTCATGAAGTCATGTTGAGTAGCATTAATTATGCATGATCCTTCCTTGACAGCGCACTATATCAGACACTTATCATTTTGACAATACTAATGCTGGAGTAGGCAGCCCACAGCTACAAGGATCATCTAATTCAGCTTCTTAAATATTGGCAGTTCAGCCTTTTCTAATTACTGAAGCTTTTCCAAATGGCTCCTATACCTTTTCAGCCAATATAGAATATTCTTATTTAGAAAACAAGTACCCTAATAAATGTTTAGCATCCTCCCTGGTTACCAGTGGGGCGTAATAACCCAAGGATGTTTGAATACTTCTTCATAAATGTTAAGTTTCTAAGTCATAAACTGCTTAAAATTGAAGATAAGCCGAATATCTATTGGTTTTGCTTCATAGCTAATTATTTAATGATTTTATTGGCAGTATCTGGTATTGGTACTCCTGAAAGAGTGGGTAGAGGGAAAAATAGATTAGAACGGCAACATAACACTGCAGAAATTGAATACAGTACTTATCTTGTAAAAACTAGAGTGATTCTGTAGCTATCAAAATTGAGATTTGTATTGGAAAGCAACTGCAGAATAATGTCAAGAGTATAAAGTGATTTTTCTGGAAGGAAGGTCAAAGCGTAAGGCTTTTATTTCCTGGATATAGCAGGGCTAAGAGCTTACCCAACTTCTCTGCTTCCACCCAAACACATGTTTTTAGTTTAGACTCAGTATTCAAATAATTGTTCCTGTTTTGCAACTTGTGGAGCACTTCATACTTCTATTTGAATCTTGAAAAGAAGTTGTCCACTTTACCTCAGGACAGATAAACAATAGGAGGAAACTAAGTATGGCTTTAGACAAGAAAAATGACACCTGAAATCTTATTCTGCAACGTATTTATCACGAACTTTGACAGGAGAAAGCAGAATATGCCTATGAAGAGTTCCTGAATGATGTAAGATAACCGGATCACATACTAGTAGTTGGAAGTGATGGTGTTTCCACACTGTAATGATGTGCAAAGTATAACAATGTTTGAGACAGCCTAATATTCCCAGTTAAGATCTTGGCATTGTTTTATTAGGCTGGAGTCCTATACAGATACGCAAAAATTTCCACATACCAGAGGCAAAGCACAGGAATAGGAGAAAGCATGGTACCAACGGCCTTTCTTTAAGAAAAGTTAATAAGAACAGCACTAATACAAAAAAACCCCATCCTTTCCCTTCTCCTGGGAAGAGGCTGTACTGCCACAAAGGAGGCCAGGAAGAAGGAAAATGGTTCTCAGACAGATGACAGAGGAGAGACAGTGCATTAAAGAGGAGAATCTTGGACATCCTGGCCAGCACTGAATGCAGAGACCTCACTTACGCATTACTTCCATCACACGGTGTCGGAGGAAAGTGCGACTGCTCTGAAGGGCACCAAAACGTTTCAAATCCAGAGGCCAGACATTTTCTGATGGATACCCATTTACCATCCACTCTGCCAGGTACCTGATGGAAGAAGTAAAGAAAGACTGAGATATCACCCACTGTCTTAAGGGAAAGAGTCTACCTTTGAAGTCAGAAGCAAGCCAATTTGGACACGACAATTTATTGCAGTAGGGAGAGAGAAGACAACGAACATGGTATTCTAAATACTAGCAGAATGTGGAAGGCTTCCCTTCACAAAACCCATCCACCAGATTTCCAAATTATTAATTTCCCATTAGGATGAAACATATAGGGCAGCAGGAAGTTAAGGACATGTAAACGAAGCCAGAGCCTGGACAGGTAGCCTGGCTGACACTGTGTCAAGTCCTCAGGCTACGCTACAAAAGGAGGTGCTGAGTACGTTTAGGTTGGAGTTAGGAGGCTGACTGCTTTGTCATTTTTCAGTACCTGGTGTAGGCTCAGCCACAAACCATCAGTGACAGCATTCATTTCAGCACGAGGTGCCAGCCAAGTTATGTTTAGCTACACTTCTAGCAGTGAAGGAGGAAGGCATGCTCCAGAGCTAAAGGACAAAGGCAGCTCAGACCAAAGCAGAGCAGAAGGATCTGTTCACAGTCAGCAAACAGAAAAACAAAGGGGTTTGAGATCGATAATTAAAAGTTACATTAGCAAGCTAAGCTGCTTATCTTGAGGCTGTAGCAACAAATGGACAAATAATGCTTTTACCTTCAGAAATTATTTTGATTCTTAGAGAATCTCACCACAAAGATTCTCTATATTTTATATGACAAAGAAAAAAACCCAAGAGTTGCTTCCCTGGAGAGTTAAATTATTAGACAATAGACAGAAACTAGTGGAGACAAACGCAGATACTAACACCTGCCATGAAAAATGAGCAGTTTAAGAAGGCTGTATGGCAGAAGAGATGCTGGGTTGCCAAAATCAAATGGCAGAGGGACTGATGATCATTCTGCAAGAAACTTTGCTGCTGGGATCACATTTACATGCCTGTCAAAGTACCTGCATTAACACAGGTATTGGATTTTCTGAGAAATTATTCCACCCCTATCTCACTGGCAGAGGAGAGTCTTTAACAGTCTTTAACTGGCAGCACTGGCATCACATATGCGGTGCTTCATCTGCAACAGTTTCTCTGAAAGCAGAGTGAATCTAACTGCTGTGTCAACTTGAATGATCTAAGGACTTCAATCAAATAATAAAGGGGACCACGGAGTACAGAAGATGAGGGAATATATGCTTTGCTAAGCTTTTATCTCTTCCTAGTAGATAAAAAAAAAAATATCAGACCAGTTACCCAGCAGGCTGCTGATCACCGAGATGTGATGCCTAAGGAGAGGTGTGCAGGATAGGAGGAGAGTCCAACACAGATTTGGAATACACGCAGGAGAACATAATCAGAACATGGCAACTGCTCCTCTCCTTCACTCAAGTTGGAAACGAAAGAGGAGTCTTTGTCAAAGAGGAGGTGAGAAATACTGACCAAAACATTCTAGACGGATCACCTGAGCAGTCTCTTTTCTTGGTTAAAACCCTACTTACACACATAACAGTGATAAACCACTTACTTGCCTGCTCCCCCACCATATGAGATACCAGCTGAGTTCATGCCAGCCAGAACGAAGTAACCCCGCACGGTGGGCGACTCTCCCATGATGCACCGCATATCTGGTGTGAAGGACTCTGGGCAGTTCACTAACTGCATGATCTGCAGAGCCTCCAAATCCGGCATCCTGCGCAGAAGGGCACTCAGAAGTGGTTCTAGGATCCAAGACAAACAAAAAAATATAAAAAGTCACAGCCTTCAGTCTCAACCCATTTCAGCTACTTCACCTTCGAACTGGACAGCATGACAGAGGCATGCTGTTATCTGAACAGATGGAAACTGCTTCCATGTTTCAATGCAGTCGCAGGATAAACCATTTACCTGCTGGAATCAAACTACTTGAAACGGATCACACAGCATACCATAAAAGCAGCCATACTGATCCAGACCAGCAGCCCAGTATTGTTTTCAACAGTGCAAGAGCGTGTTCAGTTTTGTTAGGGAAAACAATATGAATAGACATCAAATAGATATCTAGCGAGGAGTAATAACAGGCAAATCTATATGACGCTTGTCCCACGCACTCTGCCAGCCTGCACTTACCATCAGCTCTGAGGATTTCCTAAAAACCTGATATATTTTCCCTATTTAGTAATCCCTAAATCAATCTCTCTTCTAAGGGATCTTCCCCAAACTCATGAAAACATCCTACAGATGCCAACAAGGAGTTCCACATATTTAGTATTTGTCGTATGAGGAATCATCTCCTTTTGTTTCGAAATTCACACTCAATTTTTGATGCTTCCCAGCTGGCATAATAAAAGAGACAGTGAACAGGAGATCCCCATCTATCCTGTCCACCTCATTCAAGATTTCACAGACCCCTGTTTATTTCCCTTCTGTCATCAATTTTTCTCAGCCCACTCAAGTCATTCCTCGCTTGGAAACTGTTCCAAGTTTTGATCAGCTTCTTGCTGCTCTTTCATCAGGCCTTCTCCAGTCATATGATACCCTCTGGAGATAGAGAGCCTAGAACAACACCTAGTATCTGGCAAACCAAGGATTTAGTGTTGCATAATGATTGTGTTTTCTGCCCCTTTCCTAATAATTGCTAACTTGTCTTTTGCTTTGACTGCTACTGAGCTATCTTCACAGAACTAATAAAACCCCAAGGTCAGTTCAAAGCTCATCATTTTCTATGGTGAAAATTAAGACCATCCACACATACCCCCATGCACTTGCATCACTTCACATTTATCCTCATTGAATTTCCTTGCCACTTCATTACCCAGTCATGCTGGAAAGGTCCTTCAGCAATTCTTCAGTCTGACATTTGAGAGCATTAATAAAGGGAGAAGCTATCTACTTTGTTTTCTTGTCCAGAAGTTACCTCTGCAGAGTACTCCAGATAAAAGCCCTCAAGACACAGCACTAATAACACTCCTCAGCTTTACACACAAGCAGTACAATAACCAGATTTCATATTACCTATGAAGTTACAAACAGAAACAGTCTTTCTGACCTGCTCTCTCCCCTTCCTCTCTCATGCATTAGAACTCCAGACTGAGAGCCTGTAGTTACAGACTTTTTTTTCTTATTGATAAAAAGAGGGATCAGTGTTAGATTTGTTCTCATAACCAGCTCAACATTTAAGCAACTGTACAGGCTATTTTAAAATCAAAAGGTGTTTCAATGAGAGAGATCAAAGCAGTAATGCAAGAGCTCAAACCACAGAAATTGCAGCCCTAGAAAAGGATCAAATACTGGCTGAGTAAGCTCTGACTCTGCTCATCTGTTTGGTATGTTTGAACTGATAAAAGAGTAATGCTGGAACATAGCATGCAGTTGATTCTGAAACTTGGGCAATTTGTGGGTGCCAGCAAGCAGTGCCTTTTCATTTCAGCAGTACCAAAAAGGAATTGGGTGCAGAGCTTGAGCAACTCATTAGTGAAGCTATTATCCTCAAGCAAGTCTGTAGGCATCTATAGATCTAAAAAACTTTTAGCATATGCCAGCACAAAACTGCACCGTATCCTGGCTTCGCCCCCCGGAGTTTAAACTTTTATGGTATCGATATGGTATCTCATAGAAATGAAGGTAGAATTAATCAATTTGACCTAGGGAGTAGCTGGAAGAACATACTACCACTGCAGAAAGAAATCAAGTGAAAATCCATCTGTGCCTAGTCACAGAGGCATGCACATTCACAAGGGATGCAAAGAGCTCTGACACAAGGGAAAACTGGATCCCTGGAAAAAAAGGCAAATTTTAAGATGAGAGGGCATGCATAAACTTACCAGGCATAAAAAAAAAAAAAAAAAAGGAAGGGACTCACAGACCATGCTGTGTTCTTTCCTACAGAAAGAGCCCTCCAGGTAAAAGTACATACAGAATATAAAAACAGAATAAAAAGGATACATAGACAAAATATATTTATATATAAAAAGGGAAGAAAAAGACAGAACATTTGGAATATAATAAACCACCACTGTCAATGGTGGGATAAAATCTGGGAAGCAACAATACCAAGTTCTGCCCACAAAGCAACCGCCACCGATGGAAATGCACTTGGCAGTCACTGCCGAAGATTGCTGCAGAAACAAAATACCACTGCTACATGGCAGGTCAACAGCGTTGATCTACAGTGTCACAAGAGGAGCAGCATGTGGCACTGACAGTCAAAAATCAAATGAAATGGCAGAAGAGTGCTGAAAAGTTTATGTAGTACCTCGCAGCACTAGAGGAAATTAATATATGCTGAGGGTCAGCTAGTGTTTTTAAACATTACACAGATACCAATGTAGTCCTTGGTAAGGGGTTTTACGCAAATTACTGACAAATGAAGAGATGAATGAATTTGAGAGAACTTTCATCATTCCCACACCTTTCAGGTAAAGGCAGACGCATGCTAGCTGGTCAACAGCAGCCTGCATTGTTGCTACCTCTGCCTTCTGCTGAAGCCACATGTTTCATTGCTGTGGTTATCTTTCCTCCCTAACATACCAAAATGATCCCAGTCTTCTTGAAGGTTGTGAATCTCCAGCTGGTTCCGTCCCTCCGTGAAGAGGGGTTTGGGGTTTTTCTCAAAGCCTCCTGAGAGGATGCCACCTTGCCAGTTGCGTATATAGATCCTGCCATCTGGGTCTACAATAGCTGCAGAGGAAAGAAAAGAGGTGGGAAGGGAATTGAGAAAAGGGATAGCTGTCTCGGGCTGTTGTTCCACAAACACCAATGATGGGGTCTGGTGACAGGCTGGGCCAAGCTAGCGGCCTCCTGACATGAGAAGGGACAGACTCAGTCCCCCAACCCCACACTTTCACACCATTCTGGTTCTCACATGACACCTTGGTGAGCCAGTTTAGATTACTAAGCCAGCACTAACTCCCATCACAACCATGCACGTTAACTTCTGGGCATCACAGTAAACTGAATTGAACCTGAAGAGCACGCAAGCCAGCAGGACAGTGTTACCAGGAGCAGGAGGACACATGAGGGAGTCAGATCCCTTGTGGCACTGATAAGCTATTATACTGGCTTAGTTCCACTGGAACTGCACCCAAGGCCAGACCTTCCACCAGCAGGTGTCCTGCCCTCCCCCTCTTTCTCTTCTTATATTAAGAACAGTTTATTTTAATGGGGATGCATCACTGATCCAGTTTGCTGCAGGCCACCAGCACAAACAAGGTGGGCAGCACTGGGGTGAGGACAAGCAGTCAGGTCTGGATTGCTTTTACCAGTGGTAGTGTCAGCTTGAAGCATTTATGATCCTCCACCTGACATGTTCCATAGCAATTTTTATCATGTACAGAAAAGCTGTGAATATATATATGTGTGTGTGTGTGAATATATAGATATATATGGGGTTTTTTTAATTACTCAGTCAAGTAAAAGTGAAGGACTCAGGGACCCTGGTCAGAGAGCTGAATTCCCTGGAGAGTACATACATTACTCACTAGAAGCAGAAACTCTTGCTAAAGAGTGAGAGTAAATAAGCAAAGCTTTCTACTTCCCAACCAGTTTTCAAACAAAAGGGCTTTTCTTTAAGATATCCAAAAGCCAGAATATGGGGGAGGAGCAATTACCTCAAGTGTTTGGTTGCCCCTACAGCTCATAGACATGTAAATGCCATTGTAAAGCCTTAGCTTCTGTTGAAGGAAAGGAATAGATGGGCCATTTGGGGACAGCAGCCTGCAAGGAAAACATAGTGCCAAGGCTAGCACCCTTTCCAGCCCACAAATGCAACAATCAAAGTCTCAGACACACCTACTAGTCAAGCTAGAGTCAAGGTCATTCTCCTGCTAAGATGACCAACTCTGAAAATCAATTTCTGCGCCGAAAGCTTTCCCCAAGAGTAAGGAAAGAGATTCTACCACTGAAAGAGGATAGTCAAAGCAATTCAGCTAGAATGTATGTCACAGACCCAAAAAAGCTGAGAACTGATAGCCCTTAGTTGGCCTTTATGTCATAAGCCATGCGTTGCCTTGGAAAGGCAGATATAATTCACCAAGAAAAGTGAGGTAGAGCTGAAGAATCCTTACTTGGTAAATTGCTTGCCAAAGGTTCCTTCAAAGGATGTGTCAAGAGGTAGAAGTGTTCACAGGCATGGAGTGGGATATTGACTGGTTCCTCCCCAGAGTGGCCCAACTCATAGGCCCACTGAAATAAAAAGTGTATGTTAGAATACAAAAGAAGAAAACTAACTCCAATAAAAAAAGACAGGACAAAAGCACAGGTCCTGTCTGTGTGTTTGCTTTCATAAAAGGCCAAATAAGATTTGGTTTAGTCCCCTAAATCTTAAACAGACACACATTTTTTCTCTTTGCTTAAAATTTGAACTGTTTAGGACAAAGACTATTTTTCTGTTCTGCACATAAGATCTAGAAAAGTGGGGCCCTGACTCTAGACTAAGAAGTATCAACTTACAATACAAAAGCAAAGTAAGATCTGTACACTGAAGTCAACACTAGGCTCAGCCTCTAGAAGCAGAACAGTCAGAATTTCAGTGCCTGTACTGCTAAGATGTGAAGACCCCATACTAACAAGAAAGCCAGCTGCTAGTTGAGAAACAGGAATTATCAGATGTATTGTCACAGTGGAGAGGACATGACACTAAGGGGGGGAGGAAAAAAAAAAAAAAGGAATTTTCAAGGGCGGGGGGGGTGGGAGGATGGGTGAGAGAGAGAGAGAAGGGTAGAGAGACTTAACTGTCTCACTAAGAGCCAAAGCAAAATTCTTCCTGTCAGAAGGGTGAGGTGCACCCCCCTGGAAAGAGACCATGGGCAGAGCTATACCAACAAGCTGCGGGGTGCTCCTTAGCAGGTCAACACCCAGCCTTTGGTGCCAAGCAAACAGCAAGCACTGCTCTCCTCCTTCACACCCCTGCTGGTCTAAGAAGCTGAATAACATGACTTTGATCTACTCCAGTAAACCAAGCCAAAGCACAAACCATAAAAAAACCCAACCAACCAACCAACCAAACAAAAAAAAAAGCAAAAACCAAAAACTCCTGAGGAAAGTGAACGTGTTCTTAACCAAAGGGAAAAAGAAAGAAAAATTTTAGTAATTCAACCTGGCCAGCACAGTTGACAAAGTACTGGCATTGAATCTGTCCTCTGTCGGTCTCGACTGCAGTCACACGACCCTTCTGGACTGAGACATGACTGACACTCGTCCTTTCATGAATCTGGACACCTGAAGAGGACATAAGAAAGTCAGTATACCACAAGCCTTCCTTCTAATGTGTCAGGCTGCTAACATTTAACCCTTAAACTCAACCTCAATGCTTATTTTCTCTTTAAGACAAAATTTCTATTCTTGACCCAGTAATTCTTAAGTGAAACCCTGTGATTTGTAAAACATCATGCATACAGTTTGTACTTAATTTAAAGGCTGAAACTGTGAAGAGTTACAGTATTCTTTCCCATGTGACAATCTGGGTGATAAATAGAGCCTAGTATCAGCAACATGAAAAAGAGTCTCAACTATGGATTTCTTTCCATTACCATTCCTCTATGTGACAAAGTCTGTAGTTTCAGGTGACAAGTCTGCTTCTTTTATGGGAAATCAGTCATTTTGTGAAAAAATCAATTAAAGGTATGCAAAAAAAGCTGGACTAAAAGAAACTAAGAGAGGTTACCTTCCTAAGTTGCTTCTACCAATCTGATGGACTTTCATCCTTAATGAGCTTCATCTGTTATCACATCTAACCTTTCTCCCACTTTTAGACCACTCCAAATTTGCCAAAGTGCTGGGCAAACAGCATTTATTAGTACACTTCCAAACCCATTTCCAAAGCATATGTGCCCAATGAAATATTCCACGAGGGCTCAGACACACCTTTTCATTTGTAGGTAATTAAAACTCTTTTGAAGTGTAATTTTGAGTCAGGTCCTATGAAGGATTGTTTTTATGATAAAAGAGCGTGTGCTTATTCAGAGAAATATGTAACCAGTACGGACAACAAACTGGTGCTTGATCTATCACAGCAGATCTGTAAAGATTCAGTAGGTTAAAAAACAAATCAGCCTGTTTTTTAAGAAAAAGTAGATTTTAAAGAATCTGAACCTTACAGAAATAACCAAGTTTTGGTCTTCAGTGCTCAGTTAGAAAACCAAAAGACATACAGAACATAATTTTCTTTTATGTAAAGAAGATAACTATCATGCAGGACAGCACTCTGTAGATAAAAAAACCTCATACCATTCCGCGAGGCAGCCGTTGCCAGAGCCAGACTCACATTGGCAGATGACACAAGTGCATCTTCTGGCACATACATGGCCCCCACAAGGTCATGGATGTTGATCAGTGGGTGGAGCTGTGCCACTTGCTTTGGGGTGATAATTTCACAAGGTATCCCCATTACACTGCCACAGAACATAAGAAAAATGCCGTCATTAGTCTTGCAGGAGAGCTGGTGCAAACTTAAGATCAGTTTTATTTCCTGCTTATACGTACTTCAGTGATGAAGCAATGCGTTTCAGAGAGATTAGTCGATCCTGAGTCTGAGCCAGTGAAATAGAGCCTGTCTTCACGTACCCTATGACAATGACCAAAGTCAAGTCAGATTTGGACAGGATCTTGCATACCTTTTAATCTCAGACCCATTGCTTTAATCGCAGACCCATTGCTTCCACTACTCAGGAGCCTGGAAATCCCAGATCCCCAAATAACTTTAAACACTTATCAGCTAGTAATTAAAAACTGCATTAGTCAACTTTTCAAAAAAACAATTTAATTTTGATTTGTGTTCTCTTTCTACTACTTTTACTCATGTTTATAAAAAAACCCTTGAACTTCACACATGGTACCTCTTAAAAGAGAGAGGTTACTGGCACAAAAAGTGATCTAATAACTACTCAGAAGAATAAAACTTCAACAACTAAACACAGACATTTTGTGACTCCACCACTTGCGATAGATTAATACTAATCTTAATTACAGGCACAGTTATTAACCTCTGTTGAGTCTGACATATATCACAAGTCCTTGTCAGCAGAAAACTTTCAGTGACCAAGTCCTTCCTATCAGGTACATGCCTGAGCATTTTGGAGGGAGAGGGAGAATTTCAACACAATGTTTTCTTGTTATTTCCAGGGTGAGACTAGAGTAAGATACCTTGCTTTGCCCATGTGCTTCTGTTAACCACCACCTTTTTTTGAGAAGTGAATTGGTGCAGAAAATGGGCCATTTGCTCCAGTCACTGCAATACACTTTTTTGCATCTTTGTGAAAATTCACCTAAGTTTGCCCAAGCGACAGACAACATAAAAATTGTCCAAGTTTGCAGGTTGTCTGCCTTGGTTTGCCCATCTGACACCCTTCTTCCCATTCTTCTGACTACATTAGTAACATCCATAGTCCAAATGTATCATTTCTGAATAGGAACGACCAACTCTTAAGACACTGTAAAATTACCTTCGTATTTCAGTGTCAATACTTCGATTGTTTCCCAAAGATTACTCCACGATTACACTTCCAATACCTGTTTTTACTCCTGTCTCTTGTTCCAGCTGCTGGTAGAGCTTGTTAGAATAGTCTGCCATCTTCAGCTCTATGGACACAGGTCTGGCCGTGCTCACAATGCCAGCACAGAAGCGAGTGGTACCAGCAGCCAACCTGCAAGAGAAGTTGCAAAGAAGGCCTCATCTGGCTGACAGGCAGAGAGATGAGCACCCCCCGCAAGGCTGCTCAAGCAGCTCTGCTGAGAGCACAAACCAGACAGCAACCTTTCCCCTAAACATATCAGACCAAAGTTGGATGATGCAGGGATAATGCAACCTCTAGAATGCTTTTCCTTTAGCTCACTTCTGAAAACACAATGTATTCCAAAGCCACTTCTCTTTAACTAGTCTTAAACACTGAATTTTTTCGAAGAAAGCAGTTTAAAAGAAAAAAATTACCTTATGCTTAAGTTGACCTGCCTACCTGATCCTTTCTTTCTCCAAAGCAGGATTTCCCTCAAATGAAAATCACCGTGGATTTGAAGCGTGCAACTTTGCAGTTTACAGAAAGAACAAGTCCCTCTTACTGTGCAGCAACTGCCACAGATAGGTACATATATTTCTTGTCCCTTTTAAAATTGCCCTTAAACCACTGTCCATCTAGCTATTTGGTGAAGGGATGCTGTAGACATATAAACCTATTAAAAACTCCCTGCAGCACAGACACAGGAAGACAATTAGATTTAAGCATCTCCCTCACAACCTGCCTCCGCAATACTTCCAAGTCATCTTTCCTGCTGCTAAAGCAATCCTGCATTTTTCCACTTGCCTATGAAAGCCTTTGACAAGACTGCTTTTGGCCGAGTGTGTCCATATTCTCTCAGAAATTCAACCTAAAAAATCAGTTGAGTAAGGTATTCTTTTTGCTACATCCTTACTCAATGACATGGTCTTACCATGCTATGCATACTGTGAGACGTTTCTGCTAGTGCAATGTTCTTTTCCCCTGAGCACGCACACAGACTGAGCTTGTACAGCATCTAACTCAATGAAGATCTGTAACGGGGTATTCATACCCCGCTCCAAGCTAGTAAAGGTTACATTCCCTTAGAAATGGAGCCTAGCACCCAATTTCTCTTGGAAGGACACCACTCAAAAGGTCTCAGATGAGACTACCCAACTTGCAACTATAAAGAACCTAGCATTACCTGCTTCCCAGCCATGCAAAGTCAAGGAACCACAGCTAATTATTCTTGAAGGCAGCATCAGATGGGAAGCTCTAAGCTCGATGGCAAATATTCTCAGTTTGGCTCCCATTTAGGGTGTTAGAAGCTGCTGCAATAAACACCTCTTCAAACCCCTAAAGCCTTAGCACTGCCTCATACCTAAGGTCCCCAAATTGCTTAATGAAAATGACACGAATATACCTCTGAAACAGAAATCTAAACAGTTAAGGGCTGCAGAGTCAGCTTTCAACAGGATCTACGTACTCTGCCACAGACTGCAGATCCAATCCACAGAGGAGTGCACAAGGACGTGAACTCAGCCAAACTGTAACGGCCTTAGCTGTTTTACAGATGGCAACTAAATACTGCAACAGACAAACTACATAATCCGAGGCTTTAACCATCTTAGAAGGCACTGTTTCAATGATGTTTGCTTATAACCTCCACATCTCCCGCAATCTCTTTTGAGCTTTGCTAGTGGTGTAATGGTTCATATACGTATCACATCCTACTTCTAGAGATCGTCAATAGAGGCTGAATGATTTACACAGATTTTTAGTTCTCTTAAAATGGTCCACCTTTGCCAGCTGCATTGTGTTTTACACGATTACCTGCGATTATGCCAAAGCAGATGGGTATCTCCCGAAGGAACTGCGGTCCACGGCAAACCCACGCCAGGGCAAAGCTGTCCTGATGGGAACTGCAGCCCGTGGAGGACTCACACTGGAGCCCAGTACTGATCATACCCACCCCCCCATTCACCCGCTGATCTTCTTGGAGCAGTGTAGGAGACCCTGGAGTGCAGGAGTGAAGTTGAGCATAGGAAAGGAAAGGTGGTGTTCTAATGTTTGGATTTTTGTTTCTCACTACCTATTTTAACTAGCATGAAATGAAGTAATTCTTTAATTATTTTAATTCTTCCTAAGGCAAGTCTGTTTTGCCCACGGCAATAACTCATAAGCATTCTCCATGTCTTTATCTTAACCCGCGAGCTTTCTGAGCCTACCTCCTCCCCATGTTGCTGAGGAGGAAAAGTGAGTGGCTGTGTGGGAGTTTGGCCCTTAACCAAGGCTAACCCACCACAATCATGCAAAGGGATACCCTTCACCTTGCAGGTCTGCCCTGTGCTTGAGAAGCAGTACCAAGTGTCATTACTAATGTTCAATATAAGCTTATTCGTGGGTCCAAGAGGTAGAAATAACACATTACAGCATATGCTGCTATGTATGGAAGTCCTGTTTCTTTGCTTTTGTTCCCAGAAATCCTTACCTGCCCTGCTCAAGTAAGACTATATCCTTCCAACCCATCTTGGAAAGGTGATATGCCACGGAGGTGCCCATGATTCCACCACCGCAGATGACAACCTGTGCCTGTGCTGGCAAGGAAACCGGGTAAGGTTCTGCTGTACTTGAGGTACTTCGCCGGGAGCAGGTCATTCTTCTCCATTTCACGTTAGCTGCTCGCCACTGGACATCTGACAGTAATCGGAGAAACATCCCAGCAGCTATTTGTCAGTTTTCTTAAAGCACCACCTAGATGTGTTCAGACGTTAACTGAGTACCACTCCTTCTAGGAAGGAAAAGACGAGAATCACATTACCACTTATCTTATAATATACAAGGTTGGCAGCGGCAAACATCACATGGTGCGTCAGGTGTAAGTGGACATGGGAAAGCTGATGAGTAAATACACAGGAGAGCAGTTATTCAGTCCTGAAACAAGAGTCTTGCTATTAAAATTTAAACTTGGATCATAACACGGGTACAGAGCATTACACCTTTGTTTTTGACGGCAGCGTAACTTGACAATGAGCAAAGAACCAGGCAAAAGCTGGAAAAGAACGGCAAGAACGCTCTCACACCAGCAACGGGTGGATCAGGGAAAGCCAGCAGGCTCTGAAAATCTTTCATAAAGGCTGACGTTAACAAGGCGCAAATAAGCTTGATTATTAACGTTGCCAGGCCTTTACCTGAGGAAGGAAACAAAGTCTGTGATCAGAGCGACTAGAACAAGGAACTAGAGACACGCTCTCCGATAGCCTTAGTTTTACCACAGGACGTTACCCAGGACCTCGGACTGCGGTAACCCCGCAGCCCGGTGACCAAAGCTGGAATTTAACACTATGCCTGCGCTAAGCGGGTTACTGCTGCAGGCTGGCGGTTTCTCTTACCCGCAGCCTGCCGCACGCCACAGATCCGTACGAGAAGGCAGCACAGCGCCTGACGGGCCGCCACGCTTCCCGCTCCCACCCTGACGGGAAGGGTGTCAGTAGCGGGAAGCGGGCCGGCAGCAGCGAAAACCCCGCTGGCAGCCCCGGAGGCGGGGGAGCCGCCGCCTCGGCCTGCTTGCCTCCGCCGGAGCCCCCCGACCCCGGGGAACGGGGCAGGCCCGCGGCCGAGCGCTGCG